AGAAAGAAAGAAAGAAAGAAAGAAAGAAAGAAAGAAAGAAAGAAAGAAAGAAAGAAAGAGAGAGAAAGGAGGGAAGGAGGGAGGGAGGGAGGGAGGGAAGAAAACGAGCTATAGTAGGAGAAAATTTTTTCCTAAGATTTCAGAAATTCTATGTTTAACCTCTGATGTTCTACCCACAATGTTGAGTAGTTCACTACAGTCTCTTTTCTCCTTACTAGTATATATAGTTTTAATACCCTGAGAAATAAAGGTTACTCTTAAAAAAAGGGTACTAAGTTAATGACAATTATGCAAGTCTTCATACAGACAAAATTCTTTAAAAAAAACTTTCAAAAAGCAAATTTAAAGAATACTTACTGGCTCTACCAGTAAAAGAAAGAAGGGAATAAGTAATTTTGCTTTCTTTTTGAGAGTATATTAAAAACAGTATCAACATTACTACCTATGAATGTTATAGGCTACTTCATAAGCTTAATTCTTTGCTAAATGTGAGCGATGGGCCTCTTACTCACTGGAAAGTTTAATGTATTTCAGAAATGTAAAAACTTATTTTAAAGTAGCATTTTATTAACAATGCTGGTACCAGTAACATAATTTAGGAACACTCTCTGTAAAGGAAGTCAGCTTTCAAGCTAGAGTACTTACAGGATGGGTCTGAGACTGCGGTGTGAGATGATTTTCTTGAACTACGGGAGGAAGCAGAAGGGGTTGGGCTGTGATCAAACCTTTCCAGTGCTTCCTTGAGACTGACTGTGTTTATACGGTTATCAGACCCAGAATCTTGGCTCTAAGGAGGAAGAGTAAAATAAATGTTTTCTTGTGGTTCGGTTCAGAGATCCCCAAATATTAATATTGCTTACTAACCCCACTTCCCCAAAATTAGTTTTACTCATAACAAGGCAATTATATTTGTGTATATATTAGGTAAAGAAAAGAAAAATTATTTTTTTATAGCCAGAAGATTTTAGCTTCATTCTCAATTTAAAGAAACAACAGATGCAAAAGAATGAAGGTGTACTCTTACTATATACCATATATAAAAGCTAACTCAAAATGGATCAGAGACCTAAACATAGGAGCTAAAAATTATAAAACTTTCAGAAGGAGAAAAGCTTTATGACATTGGATTGGGCAATAATTTCTTGGCTATGACATTAAATGCACAAGCAACAAAAGTGCATCAGAAGACAGTATACCAGAGGGAAAAGGCAACCCTTGGAATGAGACAAAACATTTCCAAATCACGTATCTGATAATAAATTAACACCCAGAGCACATAAAGAACTCTGCAATTCAACAGCAAAAAAAAAACCCAAAACACCAACAAACAATCCAGTAAAAAAACCAGCAAAGGTTTTGCACACATTTCTCCAAAGAAATGGTCAATAAACACATGAAAAGATGTTCAGTATCAACAATCATTAGGGAAATACAAATCAAAACCAAATCAAAATCACATCCATCAGAATAGCTATTATAAAAAGAAACAAACAAAAACACAGAAAATAACCGATGTTGGTGAGAATATGAAGAAACTGGAACTCTTGTACACTGCTGATGGAAATGTAAACTAATGCAGCTACTATAGAAAATAATACGATGGGTGCTTAAAAAATTTAACAGAATTACCATATGATCCAACAATTCCATTTCTGAGTACACACTCAAACAACTGAAAGCAGGGGCTCAAACAGATACTTGTACACCCATGTTCACAGCAGCATTATTCACAAGAGCCGAAAGATGGATGCAACCCAAGTGTCCAATGACGGATGAGTGGATAACAAAAATGTGGCATATACACAGAATGAAATATTATTCAGGAAATTCTGTCACATGCTAAAACATGGATAAACCTTGAGGACATTATGTCAAGTCAAATAATCCAGTCCCATGAGGACAATTACTGATGATTCCACTTGTATGCTGTACCTATAGGAGTCAAAATTAATAGAGTCAGAAAGTAGACTGGTGGTGGCCAGGGGATTGAGGGAGGACGGAACAGGGAGTTTCGGTTTAATGGGTATGGATATCAAGTTTCAGTTTGATAAGATGAAAAGTTTTGGTGATGGCTGCACATCAGTGTGAATGTACTTAATGCCACTGAACTGTACAATTAAAATTGGTTAATGGTAAATTTTTTTAAGTATATTTTATCACATTAAAATAAAGTGTAAAAAAATAAACAACAGAATAAAGATGGCACTTCAGTTTATAGACAAGGTACTATAAGCATCTTTGGAACTCAGCATTTGATTGCTCAAAATCTTCCTCTTCACTCCAACTCTGACCTTTGTACAGAATTTCAATATCCACGTGAATGGTTCATCCAATGGCCTGTCCTGGTCTCTCAGCTTTCTAGGAATTCCTCATCTCCAATAACTTTTTTCTCTACTCCACTTCAGTCATTCAATCCCTGCACCTTCTAGGACAACTTAGCTTTCTGCTTTTATTCATACCTCAGTGGCCACATTTCCTTGTCTCCCTCACCTCCTAATGTTGGAGCCCCCCAACATTAATGCTTAGTATTTGGCTGTCATCTCTTCTCTACATCCATTCCCTTGGTGATCGAACTTAACACTCATGACTTAAAACCATCCACACACTGAAGTGTCTCAAAAATATATCTCAAATGAACTGCTTCCCTAAACTCCCAGTGGATCACAGTGGTAACAGTAAACATGGTGAGAAAGCAGACAGCGGGAGTATATTTTGGAAGTAGGATTACACTCTGGCATAAGAGAAAAAGAAGCAAGGGGGAACAACCTGTATTACTTTAGTTTCTATAAAATGGTCCCAATTTCGAGGAACCCTAGATTTAAAGCACTTTTCTCAGAAAATTTGTTTTATTAAAACATACTGGACCTTCTTCCTCTAATTACACAAAGCTCTCTGAAACACTCTCTCATGTGGGACCCATGAGAGCAGAGAGCCTGTCTATGTTATCCACTGCCGTACTCTTAGCATCTAAAGCCATGTCCGGTACTTCCTAGCATACGGAAGGTACTTAACAAGCTTTCCTGAACGGCAAGCAATATCCCCCATAGTGTCCCCGGTACCCTGTATGTTTAACATACTTTTTACATAGATCCTTGGCTTTTCTCATTCCACTTATCTTCTCCAAGTCAAAAATACCTTTGACAGGCAACTTCTGACATGCCTCATGATGATTCCTACCTCTCGGTATTCACTCCCTTGTATAAGCCCTCCCCTTCAGTGTACGCTGGACCTAGTGATTTGATTCTCATGTACAGAATAGACAACAGTGATGCAGTATCACTTCTGTGCTTAGGTTACAAAAGATTCATCTTGCTGGTTTTCTCTCCCTGGATCTTCTTGCATACTTGCTCTGATGGAAAGGGCCACCTGGAAAGAAACTGAGGGTAACCTCTGGCCATTAGTCAGCAAGGAATCAAGGCTGTCAGTCCAAATGCCCATGAGAAATCAGATCCTTCCAACAATCCAAGAAACCCTGGAAACAGATCCTGGCCCAGGTGAACCTTGAGATAACTGTGGCGCCCAAGGACACCTTGATTACAGCCTTGTCAGAGGCCCTGGGCTGACAGCTTGACTGCAGCTTCATGACCAATTCTGAACCAGAGGTCCCAACTAAACTGTGCCTGCATCTTAACCACAGAAACTATGAGTTAATAACTGTTAATTTACATCAAGTTTTGTTACTCAGCCATAGGTAACTAATATACTACACTGCTACATGATATAATGAAAAGAGAAACGAAGAGTTCAAATTCTGACTATAACTTCCCAGCCATGTATCTTTAGGGGAGGCCTTCCCCCACCGTTAAAGCCTCAGTTTCAATATTTTCCAAGTGGGGATATTGCCTATCAGGTGAGAATGTCTGAGGAGTTAAAGATATTTTGTAATTCATATAAAGAAACTTGCCAGAGCCTAACATGTTATAGACAATTAATTAATGGTAGTTTAAATCTGAGATCATACATGTCACTCATCCAACTGTCAGTAGACAGAAGACCCTTCAAATCTTTTTAAGAAGCAGGTAAGGTTTTAAATTAATAAATTAAAAGTTTATAACGCCGTCACAAGTGAGAAAATAAAATATCTGAAAAACAATTTTCCTATAAATTACTGAATCTTGTCTTTCTTTTATTGCAAAGAAATAAAGTAATTTTTTTAAAAACTATAATATACATACTTTGTCAGCAGCTGTCTCAGGAAGAGATTCTTCAATGCCAAGTTCTCGTCGTCTTTCAGCCCTAACTTCTGCATAACTACAAATGAAAAAAAAAACAAAAAAAAAAGAATTTTAGTGTTTGGTCATTCATTTAAAATACTGCAGAGGTGTACCCATTCGGTGTTTTCTATGAGTCTCACTTGCTATTTTCCATGCATTACACAAAACTACAACATATGTACAATTAAAAGATAGTGTACAATATCGTAATCAAATTGAATTTTTCTAGGTATCTCAAATTGAATTTTTCTAGGTATCTAATGTAAATAATCTGTAACTGCACAGTTCTTAAATTCAGAGATATTAAATAAAGAGTATGCTTGTTTACTCCAGTTTTCCTTTCATACAACTGACTTTGATACTTAAGACAGTTACAACTTCTGCTCTAAACCATAAAATTTATGTCAAGAATTATATATATCTCTATATACCTGCATTCTATTTCTATATAATATAAGTAAATTTTATATTATATTTTAACAGTGTATCAAAAATAAGGGAAAATCTGCCAGGCCGGTGTGGGTCAGTGGTTGAGCATTGACCTATGCAACTGGAGGTAACAGTTTGATTCCCAGTCACGGCACATGCCCAGGTTGCAGGCTCCATCCCCAGTCGGGGGCGTGGTACAAGAGGCAGCCGATCAATGACTCTCATCATTGATGTTTCTATCTCTCTCTCCCTTCCTCTCTCTGAAATCAGTATTTTTTTTAAGAAAAGAAAAAATTGCTTAATAGTTCATTAACAAGTCATGCATACCAATTTCATTGTCGATATCATTATGGATGTTTCTACAGTTCAGAAATTCTGTAAAGTAATTTACCTTACTACAGTGTGAGTACAAACAATAAACTCTGGCCTTGAATTCCACTGATGATAAGTGATATAATAATGAGTTTGAAGCCAAATCCACTGCTGTCCTTTGGTCAGGAACCTGTAATAACATGATTTGCCTTTCCCATACTGCATCACTAAAAAGGGAAAAAAATTTTTTTATTCATAAGTTATGAATCTGCTTTTTAGTGAAACTTATCATTTATATTTATATCCACACGGTGTATACAATTCTTCTGGCTTTTTAGTAACATATATATCAATTATAAGAAAATACTATTCTGCAGAGCTAGCTGAAGGTCTCCAGCAATTTATCTTCCACAGTGTCCAACTTATAGCTAATTATTGCTGATCTTGGGTACTTTTAATACACAGTAAACTTCCAAATTCTCAACAATTAAGTATTCACATACTGACTTCCTCCTGCCAATATACTGACAGTAACAGCAATAAGTAATCACATGAGTTTATTTCCCACCTGTACCCTGGCAGGTGTAGCATCTTTGAGGCATTTAATTCTAAACCTTAACTGACCAAAATTAGATTAACTTAATTATTTGAACTGATAAAGTATTTCCCAAAACAAACACTCTGGGTAGATTGTAAGTTCTGCAGCTTTGTAACAGATACCAAGCCAAAAGGGGAGGGGTTTACATTAATTTGGGAAACTTTGTTAAATAGGTTTATTTAAATTTTATTCATTTATTTTTTTTTGGTTTTATTGAATTTAAAGTGACATCAGTTAATAAAATTATATAGGTTTCAGGTGTACAATAATATATCACCTGTATATTGTATTGTGTGTTCACCAACCCAAGTCAAGTCTCCATCACCATTTATATCCCCTTTACCCTCTTCTACCTCTCCCATCCCCCCTTTACCCATTAATCACCATGCCGACATCTGTGTCTATGAGCTTTTGTTTGTTTTTACTTAATCCCTTCACCTTTTTGACCCAGTCCTCCAATATCCTCCCCTCTGACAGCTGTCAGACTGTTCTCTGCATCTATGAGTCTGTTTCTATTTTGTTTCTTAGTTTATTTTGTTCATTAGATTCCACATATAAGTAAAATCATATGGTACCTGTCCTTCTATGACTGGCTTATTTCATTTAGCATAATACTCTTCAGGGCCATCCGTGCTGTAGCAAAAGGTAAGATTGCCTTGTTTTTCATGGTCAAGTAGTATTGCATTGTGTAAATGTACCACAACTTTTTTAAAACTCCTACTAATTATGTACTGTTTATGATTTCAGATGTAATGAAAACCTATTATTTTAAATGGGACCGGCAAGGTGTTCCACCCAGTCTGTCAATGGAATTTATGCAGTATTCACGTAGCACTGTTATTTCTAAGAAAATACTAGCATTCTAGCTTCCTGTGTTCAATGCAATTTTCTGTTCTTTTAAAATTTTTTTTTTATTGACTGCATTGGGGTGACATTGGTTAATAAAGTTATATAGTTCTCAGGTGTACATCACCATTTATCCCGCTATGCCATCTTCTATATCCCGCATCCCCCTTTCCCTCTGGCAATTACCACACTGATGTCTGTGTATATGAGTATTCTTTTTTTTTTAATTAATCCCTTCACCAGCCCTGCAATCCACCTCCCCTCCCAACAGCTGTCTGTTCTCTATCTATGGGTGTGTTCTTATTTTGTTAGTTTATTTTCTTTATTAGTTTCCACATATGAGTGAAATCATATGGTACTTGTCTTTCTCTGACTGGCTTATTTCAGTTAGCATAATGCTCTAAGATCTATCCATGCAGTTGCAAAGGGTAAGCTTTCCTATTTTTTTTTTACGGCCAAATAGTATTCCATTGTATAAATACACCACAGCCTTTTCGTCCACTCACTTACTGATGGGCACTTGGGCTCCTTCCAAATCTTGGTTACTGTAAATAACACTGTAATGAACATAGCAGTGCATATATTCTTTCAAATCAGTGTTTTGGGTTTCTTCAGATATATTTCCAGAAGTAAAGATAGAACTGCCTGACGACCCAGTGATTTCAAATTTTTGAAGAAACTCCCTACTGTTTTCCACAGAGGCTGCATCAATCTGGATTCCAACCAAGAGTGCACAGGGGCTCCTTTTTCTCCACATCCTTCCCAGCACTTGTTTGTTAATTTACTGATTATAACCATTTTGACAGGTGTGAGGTGACAACACACTGTGGTTTTAATTTGCATTTCTCTGATGATTAAAGACGTTGAGCATCTTTTCATGCCTGTTGGCCCTCTGTATGTCCTACTTTGAGAAGTGTCTATTCAGGTCCTTTGCCCATTTTTTAATGAAATGTCTTTTTGGTGTTGAGTTTTGTAAATCCTTTATAAATTTTGGGTATTAACCCAAATTTTGGGTATCACTAGCAAATATGTTCTCCCATTCACTGGGTTGTCTTTTTCACAGTTGGTTTCCTTTGTTGTGCAAAAACTTTTTATTTAATGTAGTCCCATTTGTTTATTTTTTCTATTGTTTCCCTTGCCCGAGGAGCTAGATCAGAAACATATTGCTACGAGAAAGGTCTGATATTTTACTGCTTATGTTTTCTTCTGGAGTTTTGCGGTTTTGAGTCTAACATTTAAGTCTTTAATCCATTTTGAGTTTATTCTTGTGCACAGTGTAAGAAGGTGGTCTAGTTTCATTTTATTTCACATCTGTCCAATTTTCCCAATCCCATTTATTAAATAGACTATCTTTAGTCCATTGTATGTTTTTGCCTCCTTTGTCAAATATTGACTATAAAGGAGTGGGTTTATTTCTGGGCTCTCTATCCTGTTCCACTGATGTATATGTCTATTTTTGTGCCAGTACCATGCTGTTTTGATTACTATGGTTTTGTAGTATAGTTTGATATCAGGTACCATGATTCCTCCAACTTTGTTCTCTTTTCTCAAGATTGCTTTTGCTATTTGGGGTCTTTTGTGGTTCCACATAAATTTTTGGAACATTTGTTCTAGTTCTGTGAAATACACCACTGGTATTTTGATAGGAATTGCACTGAATCTATAGATTGCTTTGGGTTGTATGGATATTTTAATGATGTTAATTCTTCCTATCCTTAAACACAATATATGCTTCCACTTACTTGTATCATCTTCAATTTCTTTCTTCAGTGTCTTATAATTTTCCAACTACAGGTCTTTTACCTTTGTTAAAATTATTCCTAGGCTTTTTTTTTAAGTAACTGTGAATGGGATTGTTTTCTTAGTTTCCCTTTCTGATAGTTCATTATTGGTATATAGAAATGCAACTAATTTGGGGATATTTATTTTATATGCTACTTTACTGAACTCATTTATTAGTTCTAGGAGTTTTTTGGTGGAATCTTCCAGGTTCTCTAAAAGACAGTATCACATCATCTGCAAATAATGACAGCTTTATTTCTTTCTTTCCAATTTGGATGCCTTTTACTTCTTCGTCTTGTCTGATGGCTGTGGATAGGACTTCCAGTATTAGGTTGAATAAAAGTGATGAAAGCGGACATCCTTGTCTTCTTCCCAACCTTAAGGGAAATGCTTGTAGTTTTTGCCCACTGAGCATGTTAGCTCTGGGTTTTTCATAAATGGCCTTTATTACATTGAAGTATGTTCCCTCTATTCCCACTTTGCTTAGAGTTTTTATCAGAAATGGGTGCTGGATTTTATCAAATGCTTTTTCTGCATCTACTGATATGATCATGTGATTTTTTCCCCTTCATTTTGTTTATGTGATGGATCACGTTTATTGATTTGCAGGTACTGTACCAGCCTTGCATCCCTGGGATAAATCCCACTTGATCATGGTATATGATCTTTTCAATGTATTGCTAGATCTGGTTTGCTAATATTTTGTTGAGGATTTTAGCATCTATATAAGGGATACTGGCCTATAATTTTCTTTCTTTGTAGTGTCTTTATCTGGTTTTGGGGTTAGGCCTCATAATATTGGCCTCATAAAATGAGCTTGGGAATCCTTCCCTCCTCTTGAATTTTTTGGAATAGTTTGAGGAGTTAGTTCTTTGAATGTTTGGTAAAATTCACCTGTAAAGCCTTACAGTCCAGAATTTTTGTTGGTTGGGAGTTTTTTGATTACTGCTTCAATTGCACTAGCTATAATCTGCTTATTCAGATTTTCTGATTCTTCCTGATTCAGTTTTGGAAGATTCTGTTTCTAGGAACTTATCCATTTCCTCCAGATTGTCCAATTTGTTGGCATACAAATGTTCCTAATATTTTCTACACTCCTTTGTATTTCTTTGGTGTCAGTTGTTACTTCTCATCTTTCATTTCTGATCTTATTTGGGTCCTCTCTCTTTTTTTCTTATGAGCCTGTTTAAAGTTTATCAGTCTTGTTTATCTTTTGAAAGAACCAGCTACTGGTTTCACTGATGTTTTGTACTTTATTTTTAGACTCTATTTCATTCATTTGTGCTCTGATTTATTATTTCCTTCTTTCTACTTAGTTTGGCCTTTGTTGGTTGTTCTTTTTCTAGTTTCTTTAAGTGTAAAATTAAGACTGTTTTGAGATTTTTCTTATCTCCTGAGGTAGGTCTGTGATGTTATGAATTTCGCTTAGGACTACTTTTGCTGCGTCCCATAAGATTTTAGGTTGTTGTGTTCTCATTTTTTGTTTGTTTCAAGGGATCTTTTGATTTCTTTATTGATCTCATTGTTAACCCACTGTTTAGTAACATGTTATTTAGTTTCTATGTCTTTGTGTGTTTGTCAGTTTTTTACCTGTGATTGATTTCTCATTTCATACCATTATGGTCAGAGATGATGCTTGACATGATTTCAATCTTCTTAAACTTATCGTGACTTGTTCTGTGTCCTCATATGTGGTCTATCCTAGAAAATGTTCCACAGGCACTTAGAAAGAATGTATATTATGCTACTTTGGGGTGAAATTCTCTGAAGATGTCAATCAAAATCCATGTGATCGAAAAAAAATCCATCTGATCTAGTATGTCATTTAAAGCCACTGTTTCCTTATTAATTTTCTCTCTGGAAGATCTATCCATTGATGTCAATGGGATGTTAAAATCCCCTACTACGATTGTATTATTGTTGACCTCTCCCTTTATGCCCATCAAGATTTGCTTTACACATTTACGGAGCTAATATTTTGGGTGCATAAATGTTCACAAGGGTTATAACCTCTTATTGGATTGCTCCCTTTATCAAATGTAGTGTCCTTCTTTGTCTCGTGCTATAGCCTGTTTTAAATTCTATTTTGTCAGATATAAGTAGCTACTCCAACTTTTTTCATTTCCATTTGAATGAAATATCTTTTTCATCCCTTTATTTTTAGTCTGTGTGTATCTTTTGTTCTGAGAGTATTTCCCTAAACACTCTATAGATTTTAAATTCTGCAGCCTTTTAACAGATATTAAGCCCAAGTAAAGTGGGAGTTTGTGGTTAAATTAATTTGGGAAACTTTGTTAAACAGGTTTATTTAATCTCCTCAAAATCTTAAGTATATTAATATATGTCAAGATTTGGGAGAGGGGGAAGATTGATTATGAAGTGTTTCCTAGTCTTCCTTGACCATAAAATCCATTTTGAATGGACTGGCATTCAGTGGACCAAACCTTAGGAAGTACTGGTCAAGAATCAAAATCTATTTCTCTCTCTGTGCGTTATCATGAACTTAGTGCCCATATCGCTTGAAGTGAATAATGTTTTCTTTTGTGCTGAAATGACTTTACTCTAAAAATCTTCCATGCGGTTGATGCTACCATAAAACATGCTTAATTTTCATATAGAATAGAGATTTGTTAGACCAGCCTAAGACATCATGAAAGTGTCCTAAACATCTAAGAAGGGTTTAGAGGATATCCAAGAGGGCAGGATTTGGGGAGGAGGAGAGGAAGCAAATAAAGCCTCTCACTGAAACATGCCTCTGAACAAATTACAAATGGCATGTGGTCCAGGGGCAGGTCTAGATTCTAATCCTGTTGCTACCACCACCGAGTTACCAGATTGTGGGTAAATTACTTGGGCTTACTGTGCCTCAGTTTACTCAGAAATAACAACAGTATCTATTCTAGAACTGTAGTGATGAATAAATTGTTTACAATACTGCAGGGTACAATGAGATAATGCTTTTGCTGTTAATAACAATAACGACAGGTATTATTAAGCACTCACTATGATCATTCTAAGAGATTCTTTATTTGTGTACCTACCCCCTGGTAGACTTATATGCCTATAAGTCAAAATTTATGAAATAGTGTTCTAATATTTTGACATACTATTTTAACATTCAAAGGAATCTACTTCTCTTACTCCAGATGCAGCACTTATACCATTCAGAACAAGGTTTATTAGACACCATATTATAAAACTGTACTTATTACAGACTAAAATATATAAAGAGGAACAAAATTTAAACTTGATCTGTGATTCCTACTGGATTGGTATACATATAAAGTAAAATCTTCTAGTGTATTTCAAAAATACAAAAATGGTTATAAGTCTGTATTTTACCACCTTCTATTAATACAATAGCTCTTTCTATGATTAAAAACATTTATCATCACCAGAAAGATTAAAGTCTACTTACAGTGTTCATGACATTTTGCCAAATTTTCTAGGTCATCCACATGATAATAATCATAGCCTGATGTTCCCAGAACTTCAAATGGCAAATATCCTATTATGGGTGGTGCCCTAAATTACATATAAAACAATATTGTAACTTTTTCCATAACGAGAAATATTCCAACTCAATACCAATTTAAGGAAACCTTTTAATTTTCAAAAATGGATAATGAATTTGATCATCTGGATTAGAAAAAGGTTTTTTTTAAAATCCATTCATTTAAACAATTATATGACTTAACTTTTTATGAAATTTTAAAATGGAGTTACCTGTGATCTAGAAATAAAAACTTCCATTCTAAACTATGTCTAGATGTAAACTCTTCGTTGGGTTCTTCAACAGTGCACATTTCCTACAAATGAATAAATAAAATTCAGAAATATTTTTCTGTCCTTACAAAAATCCTAAAAATTCTTAGCCATAAAAGTCATTATTAGATAACTTTTCCAGCAATTTTTAATGCATTTTAATTTTCTACTGCTAAAGAATATGGCAATAGCCCGGCCGGACGTGGCTTAGTGATTGAACGTCGACCTAGGATCCAGGCGATCGGGGTTTGATTCCCAGCCAGGGCACATGCCCGGGTTGCGGGCTCAATCAATGACTCTCTCATCATTGATGTTTCTGTCTCTCTCTCTCCCCCTCCTTTCCTCTCTCTAAAATCAATAAAGATATATTAAAAAAAAAA